CGGGTTGTCCTTCGTTAATAACCTGAAGATTGTCGCAAGTCGAGCTATGCTTTTTGGAGAAAGCAGACGCAAAGGCCGCGAAGGCCGCGAAGGCGAGCAAGGGGAATCGAGCGAGCATATTGAAATTGGCACTTCAAAGATACTGAAATTGGCACTTCAAAGATATTGAAATCCGCAGATGAAATCCTGAAGTTGGCGATGGCCTTTGTCTTCAAGAGACGTGGGTTAATATAAACGTCACGGCCGGCCCGATTGAATGCGACTGTCTGGGACGGGAAGGGAAGATGCAGGGGTTCTGAACATGCTGAAGAACGGAGCCCCGGTTCAAATGCCTTAACAATTCAATTTCCGGATAAAGATCTTGCTCTCTCTTTACCAATCTGCTTAGAAGACGGGGATTAAGGACTGTGCGATGGTGTAATCGGTCTAATGGACAACACTAGTGGTGTAATGCTATTTTATAATCCTCAGTAAGCATCACTTTATTTCAATTAAGGGCCTCGAGTGGTCCTATTCAGTGACCAGGTGCGATAAGAAATTGAACTCGTAATGAGTAAGGACTGAATACGAAATCCACTCTCATATTAGATAGTTGGGATTTTGTTAATTGTGAATTTCAAAATGAAATCATGGGAGATAGCGCGGAAACATTCCGCAAATCTCAACATAAAGCGTTCAGGTCAGCCTTAACGGGCAGAGCCGACACCATGGAGAAACACTTATTGTAGTTAAGCAAGGGTCAATTGTAGGTATATAGTAAGATTCAAAATCAGCCTTGCATATGGATGCAGTGTAGGCTGCCAATATTACCCTCTAGAACGTAAGCATAATGATTTGACAGCCCTTATCAGGAGAAATGCGGTGTACAATTCTGGACAGGTTGACCGAGAGAATGGGGCCAATTGGTTGTAAACTTAGCTAGCCAGAGTGGGTGCCTGGCGGTGAGACTTCATGAAGGTTGCGAAGATATTACACTGAGCCCAAGCCTCGAGATGTCAATCAACTAGGCAGCATTAAAAGTAGATGTATTAAAGGCGATCTCACTCAGATATATATAACCTTTTTCAAAGCAACAAAAAGAAATCACAGCTTCCTAAAGCTAGCCTACAACCCCATCAATATAATAGATATTGTCTCTTCACTTATCCGCGAGAAGTCTACCGGCCTTCTATCATCTTCATATGCCTCGCCATCTTCCACCATGCCTTCCATAAGCGAAAATCAATCCGCATCCAGAGAAAAAAGTCCCTTCCCGCTGCATGAGGAATATAGAAACAATACTCCATCTGGATGCGCCGCACGGTCGCAAAGCTCGCACACTTCTATGAACGATAACAGGTCACATGCATATACCATAGCACGGCTCACAACACCTGAACGCTATCTACCTTCCAGTAGTTGGAGACTCAGATAAGCTGGTACGCTTTCCGCGAAGCATTGTTTTAAGACATGACTAAGCAAAATTAAGATCATCAGAAGATATACCTTTTTCAGGGCCGAAAGTATGATACAACGGAGCTTGACTTGGAGTGTAGTGGCAATCCGCCGGAAAATTTAAGCCAGCAAGATGTGTGTTATTTTCAGGTTTTGCATTTATGTAATTTTTTGTTACCACTGTAATAAGCTGTTAGGAGCAACGGGTCTCACGTGAATGTACAAAAAACACCACGTGATTTGGCTTTTATGCTCGGTAACCCGTACATTATATAAATATAATACACGGTTCATACTTGCCAACCATGATATATTAAATGAATGAATAGATACAGAATCCGTAGAAAAGTAGTGCCTGCGTTTGACGCGTTTGACGCGTTCCTTCGTGGCTTATTCCCGACTCCGCGGGGTTAATGAAGGATCACCTACTCTTCCTTTCCTGCTTCATACCTATCCAGATGACAACCTGGGCAGACACTCTCCTACAAACATTCATCATTCCAGCTCGCTTATTCTTCATCGAACTCCTCTTAACTTCTGTAATCATCCCGTTCCCCGGTCCTTGGTTTTATCCTCGCTTGGCATACTGTCGTCATCGTTCTTATCCTTCTTGGCTGTTTACTTCGACCTTCTGCATTGGGAAGCAACTCCATATACCCCACTATGTCTACCGTATACAATATAAGGATGGCAGCCATGTTGCAGTGGCCCTCATTCCTTTCTTTTTCTCTTTCCAATTATCGTGACGCTCTCGTTGCAACTGGGCTTTGGGAAAGGGTAACACAGCGGGGACTTATCCGAGCACAGCATTCCATCTTTTCGATGCCAGATTCAAAATCCGTCATCTAATTCTTGATATTTCTCTTACCCTTTGAGTATATGCTTCCTCGGATACTTCCTCATGATGCATCTGCTCAAGTTCCTGCTTGCCGTCCCACTTGTCCAGGCAATCCAACCTGTCCGCTTCCCTCATCAACCTCTTGGAAATGGCACAAAACTTCTGACCTACAACATCACCACCGGTAGCCCGGGAAGTTTGAGTCCCGTTACGGAGACGATCAGCTGGGCCAGTTCAGGTCAAGATGGCGACTATATCTATGAGGCGGACGATGGCTCTTTCATTTTCGAAAATGTCGCCACGGGTCAACAAACTACCTTTCTTACTGCTGCCAAAGTTCCAAAAGATCACTGGGAATACTGGATTTCTCCAGACTCCAAGCGTGTTTTGTGGTCAATCAATCACAAGAAGCAGTACCGACATTCTTACTTCGCTGATTACCTGGTCCAAGATGTCGCTTCCGGCGAAACCACATCACTTGTTCCAAATTCTATAGGAGATATACAATACGCAATCTGGAATCCTGCTTCATCCTCACAGATTGCCTTTGTACGCGGGAATGATTTGTACATTTGGAATGACGGCAATATTACCAGAATTACATCGAACGGCGGACCGGATATGTTCAACGCCATTCCAGACTGGGTATATGAGGAAGAGATTCTTAGCGACCGTTTCGCTCTTTGGTATTCACCCGATGGAGAGTCATTGGCTTTTCTTAGCTTTAATGAGACGGGGGTGGGGACCTTTACGGTCCCCTATTATATGAACAACTCTAAGATTGCTCCGACCTATCCCCGCGAATTGGACTTGCGATACCCAAAAGTCGGTACCAAAAACCCTACGGTGGCATTCAATCTTCTCAGTCTTAATGATTTGACCACAACTGCGGTTCCAATAACTGCTTGGCCCGAAGATGATCTGGTTATTGGTGAGGTGGCATGGGTTACTGATAGTCACGATAAGGTCATATACAGAGCATTTAATCGCGTGCAAGACCATGAAAAGCTCGTAGTTGTGGATGCCGAATCTGGATCCTCATCCGTTGTGCGTGAGAGAGATGGCTCCGATGGATGGCTCGACAACAACCTGGCGATTACGTACATCGGCCCTCTTGGGAACATCAGCTCTAATTCGATCGATTATTACCTTGACATGTCGGATGAATCTGGTTGGAATCATTTATACCTCTTCCCGGTTTCTGGTGGAGAGAAGATCGCTTTAACCTTCGGAGAGTGGGAAGTGGTCAGCATCTTGAAAATTGACGGCAAGCGAGGATTGGTTTATTATACTTCTACCGAGCACCATAGCACTGAGCGGCACATCTACTCTGTCTCTTACAAGACTCTGAAGAAGACGGCGTTGGTCGATGACAAAGTTTCAGCTGTTTGGACCGCATCATTCTCCTCCGGCGGCTCCTACTACGTTCTCCGCTATTCCGGTCCCGACGTTCCGTACCAAGAGCTTTACTCCATCAATTCCACAACTCCAATCCGTACCATTGTCGACAATGCCAAACTCTACAACACCCTTCAAGGCTACAAACTTCCCAATATCACCTACCACGACCTCCAGCACCCCTCAGGTGTGACGCTGAATGCCATGCTCAGGCTTCCAGCAAACTTTGACCCAAGCAAAAAATATCCGGTTCTCCTAACTCCGTATGGCGGACCTGGTGCGCAGCAGGTCTCCAAGTCTTTCGCATCGCTCAACTGGAACGCGTACATCGCATCCGACCCTGAGCTCGAATACATAACCTTTACCGTCGATAATCGGGGCACAGGCTACAAAGGTCGCGCTTTCCGCTCGTCTGTAACATCTAATCTAGGAGATCTGGAAGCGCAGGACCAAGTTTGGGCCGCTAAAGAGCTTGCGAAGAATCCGTGGGTTGATAAAGAGAAGATTGGTATTTGGGGGTGGAGTTATGGTGGATACCTCTCCTCCAAAGTCGTAGAGCTCAACGATCCCATCATTTCTCTAGGCCTGATTACCGCTCCTGTATCTGACTGGCGTTTCTACGACTCCATGTATACCGAGCGCTTTATGAAGACGCCTTTCACTAACGCCGCAGGCTACGACAAGTCCCGCGTGCACGATTCCACAGGCTTTAAATCCATCGCCGGGGGCTTCCTAATACAGCACGGAACCGGCGACGACAATGTGCATTTCCAGAATTCGGCGGCGTTGGTGGATTTGTTGGTGGGTGAGAAAGTAAATCCGGAGAAGATGCAGGTGCAATGGTTCACGGATTCGGATCATAATATAAATTATAATGGCGGGAATACTTTCTTGTACAAGCAGTTAAGCAAGAAGCTTTTTGAAGAGAAGAATAGGGTTGGGAAGATTGGGGGTGGACATCAGTGGAGTAGGAGGGTGGGGATGGAGGGGAGATTCGGGAGGAGGTGGACTGCTTGAGGAGCAGTGAGAAGTGAGAAGCATCTTAAGTTCCTAGGTGCTCCATTTAAAGTATACATATGGTGAGAACCACTAAAATAAATGCAAAGGAGTCCACCCGTGATAATCTGATGTCAGCATGGGCTTGGATTAAGTTATCTAACTTAAGATGTTATTTAGGACATTACAGAGTGCACAAGTTGTTTCATGACGCTAGCGATGATTGTTTCCAGGTTGGACGTTTCCCTGTTGTGGGAAATGGTAAAACTCATCCCCACAATACAAACACTAATTTTTGCATAAAATAAAAATATAATCTCATCAATCAAAAATAGGCCTACTGGCGCAATGGTAGCGCGTCAGATTCCAGATTTTCGGAATGTCCTGAAGGTTAGCCGTTCAAATCGGCTGTGGGTCAATTTATTTTTGCCGCGGTGATTGATGCCTATTGTGTTGTAGAGGTAGGTCCTTGCTGTTTTTTTTGCTGGAGAATCAAAGAATGGGAAATTCTCCTGGAAGCCCACTAAATTTCTCCCACACTCAATAATCTCTCTAAGCGAGTTTTGGGAATTCGAGGCATTGGACCACAATATTTTTTGTATATTTTGAGGTAATAATGATTACTCCTTCATCAATTGAAGCGGCTTCATGGTCTAGTGGTATGATTCCTGCTTTGGGTACTCTCCAAAGTTGCAGGAGGCCCCGCGTTCGAATCGCGGTGGAGCCCAGTCAATAGTTTTTTGGATGTTACTTGCATAGTTCTCAGCTTTTTTGGTCGCCCAAACAATTTAGGCGAGGAGGGAAAATGAAAATAATCATTGCAGGAATCTAGTGGAATAAAGTACAGTTAAAAAGACTTTGTCGTGCGGACGCATATAAGCAGCAGAATGTTCAAATATATTTCATTAGCTATTCTACTTATCGTTCGTAGATGTTGAAAGACGAAATGTTACAGCAGTAAGTTCTGTCACCGTCTTGACCTCGGATGATTCTTTCTTTGTTCGGAATTAATCCGCAGTAATCACACGACCCCACTTCGAACAAAATGACCCCCCACATCGTTCTATAAATTTTTCTTCTTGGACTTTACAACCTCCTCTTGCATGCCGCCTTTTACTGCTTTGTTATATTTTTAAATTTTTTAATTCTTCTTCATCAATTGTCTGGCAAGATGGCCGAGCGGTCTATGGCGCTAGCTTCAGGTGCTAGTATCGAAAGATGCGTGGGTTCAAATCCCACTCTTGTCAACGATATTCTGTTTCACAGATTTCAGTTAACTTTTTGCTTGTATTTTATCTCTTTGATTATTGTTTTGGTTTCTGATTTTGAATGCTCATTGAGAGTGCGGTAAATGTTCGGCACACGCATGGCTCTCTCTTTTCTGTTGAATGTGTAATTCATCCAGATATCCGCCTGTCTTGTTTAAATGATGTTCTATTTATATTTCCCATTTTTGCTGCTATTATTGTCTTATGTCCCCGGGTCTTTCTTCATTGAATCAAAACTCTTCTTTCTTCAATTGTTTTGCCCTTTGTGTTCATAATTGCTTGTTGTTATTGACCGATTATCAATTGCTCAATAAGAGTTCCACATCTATGGTCTTGTGGTCTAGTGGTATGATTCTCGGTAAGTTTCTATTCACACATATTCAAATTAGTATACTAACAGTTGAACAGCTTAGGGTGTACCCTGAGTAATTTGCGAGAGGCCCCGCGTTCGAGTCGCGGCAAGACCCGATTTTTTATATATGCCTCTAGCATATATCTTTTTCGCCGTTGCTGTCGGCCCTTTTTACTTGGCTATTTCAAGCTCAGGCTTTTTCTTGAAGTTAAAATTCTTGTTTCTGTCAAATATAATAAGATCCCCCCTTTTTATGGCACCTGGCTTCTATGGAACGCTACACGTCTCCACTGATTCTGGATGCGTGCCAGTCCAAAGGTGCCTTTTAGAACCTGGGCATCAATTGGATTTCGGCTTTAGACTGGGGGTGGCTGCTGATATCAATTAAAATCTGGTGGGGGTCTGTTGAACGATTAATATATATTTGATACTCTATGAGATGAAATACGAAACCTTACTATCTGTGGCGTAATAGTCGCCCTCGTCCCTCCTCTTCAGAGTGCAAATGGTTGGTGGTACGTACTTAAATTCCGCCTAACCCTCATTTGCTTTTAAAGTACACCTGCCTTAACTCTACTATTAAGGCTTTCCACTGGAAATCTCCCTTTCATTTAGTTTCCCCTTCCCACCCCAGTCAGTATCAAGATGTCACGAAGAACTTAGGAACGGACTTCCGTCACGCCACTCCTAGAGTGATGCACAAGTCTGGCAATCCTCCGACGTGAAAGGTTCAGGTCCGGTTTGGTTATCTTATTGCTCATCATGGCTGTCTTTCTAGCCTTGAGTTTGTACACAGAGCAAGAGTTACTGAGATATATTCAGGGCTTACAACGATGAATTATTGTCCGTATCATTTCAAGCATGAATGGCTAATGACAACGCCATTTGATATATTCGATAATCATTTCGGCGGTCTGTTGCAGGTGGATATCGGAAGTGTAGTCGTCACAAATGAGCTAATTTTGAAGTCAGAGGTTTATAGCCGCGTATACTATTATGGAGTGAGCGCAGAGTTATGTACTCTTCCGGTGACTCTCCTTTTAATCTTTCCAATGGTTAGTGGGCACGATCTCCTTGGTTTCCACGACTAAGATGATTCTCTGGGCTGCGTGAATGAAATCTATTTCAAGGTAAGCTAAATATTCACCTCGGTCTAAGACTTACAATTCCGCTAACTTTATAGTACTGAGACGTACCTCGCTTCCGTGCGTCCCTTCGCTATTGCCATCCCTTTCATTAAAGTAATGCTCCTGGTCCTCTACTTAGGATGTTTGAATTGAACTTCAAGGCTTGCATCCTGATCTGCATATGGATAACTTTAATACCTGTTTTTTACATGCCAGCACATCAGTGCAGGTTTACAAATATCCCTGCGGCGAGGCCAAGAGCGGATAGTTCAACCGATGTTAGCGCACCCTATGGTGATGAGGATAATGGCGATGCGAGGAATCGTCGGCGTCGTAAACAAATTTTAAATTTTATGCATTCCGGTGTATCTGGACGTAGGCATGCACGGCTGCTATTGAAGGAAAAAGCCACAATATCCGTCATTTTCATAACAGGCATAAGGTGACCCTCCCTGTACCTCTTTTCTTGTCATGTAAGAAACACATAGTGCTTTCAATTTTGATTGGGCGTAGGTTCTCCCCTATTAACCATATACCGTTCTCATCCCGTCCATCTAGGACACAAGGCAGGGGAATGCTTCGTCCTTTATACAGGGACTACATAGCATATCCTATCTGTTCCGTGTCGCGATTTTCCCTCCAGCTATTTTTGTACCCATTCTCTATACAGCTCACTAACACTAAATTACTACGACCGTCGAAATCAGTATCGGTCTCGTGCGCAGCTGCATGCCGGCAATTTTTGTTCTATTCAATACTTCAATGAGCACAAGCTATACATACGTAAGGCTGATGAAGTACTTCGAATCTAGTCGATCAAAAGCTGGCGAGTAAACTGATATATTACTGTCGTTTGTCGCTTACCATTTAAATCACTTCCCAAACTATCTAAAGATCAATTAATCTCAATTTGACGCCTGTAAATTGGATTGATCGCCTATTAGAACTCAAGATATTGGGATTGCTTGATTAATTGATTGGATATTTAAAATTAGTAAACAAAAATACTAAGCCCTACACTCAATCCTTCGATGGTGTAACGGTCGTCTTCAACTGCTGATGATACTCGTCCCTCCCATCCCAGACCCCCGTTTCATCCCATGTCTCCCTCTCCCTCGTCGCCGTACTCTCAACATTATTACTTCTCTGCACCTTCATTATGAAACTTCTCAAGCCTGTCATCGTTGCTTTCGGAATTTGTGGTAATTTCTCGTTACTGCTCACAATCACTCTGTCATCGGGGTGGGCGAAGTAGTTTGGATTGTAAGCGACGAAAGATGGTAGAGTATCAGGTTTTTCGTCCCTACGGCTGGATTTGCGGGAGCGGAAACATCCCATTAGTCGCTGATACAGTGCTTGTTGGGCGATGGATTTGAAGAATACGAAAATTACGGGCATGCAGCTGCACATAAGAGCAACGTTTAGTTCAACAATTCTGAGTATTACGTTAACGGATGTGCGACGCTTGGGAAGGGTCGAAGCTTTTACGTACCCCAAAGCTTGCGCCGGAATAGGCGTCCACATCGCATCGCCATTTGGACGAACTTTAAACCGTAGTATCGTTCCGGCGATGGAGCATATACATGCACTGCGCAGTTCAGTCAGCTTAGTTCTAGCTTCCTATACAATACGAAGAAGGGCGTGGCTTACATCAATCCCGTCAGGAAAATACTACAGGCTCCAACCTTCCTCGCAAATGGCAATCTCATACCCATCACCAAATGCGTTGGGATATACAAAATATAGAGGTCGGTCACCACACCGACTAACCCGCTCACAGCCGTGATATTTAAAAACAACAGCTCCTTCCCTTCTCTCTGCTGGATTAACCACGCATTCCTCCCGTTTCCCCTTGGAACACACGCATAGATTTGCGCGGCAGCGCTGGAAACATAGAAAAGGACTATAAAAACAATACCGGCCCAAATCATGATGCGAGCCCGTGAATTTAAGTTGAAGATTCGGAGGTATAGCACCAAGAGCGTAGTTTTAACGAAGATAGTTGCGAGGGCATGGATGCAGCTACTGGAGAGTGTCGCCTTAAAAAATGCTTCGTTGATATGGCTGAGAGGGACATCCCACGCATGAAGGCCGAGAGGGTTGTGCCCATCCACCATCCATAGTACTACACCGCAGTATGCTGCGATAAATATCGCTGACACAACTGCTAGATAGTCATCCGCTCCGAGACCTCTCGTGATGCGCGCTCGCGTGTACATCCTCAACGCCAGAAAGCAGGCCATGATAGGCAGTAGGATATATGAGACCAGCCGGATCTGAAGTTTGCGAGAGGGCGGGTTGATAAAATTAGGTCTCGTTCCCGCCGGCGGTGAGAGTGTTGGGATACGGTCCATCATCTCCGGCGTCAGTTTGGTCAAATCCATCTTAGCGGGAGTTCGAACTTGGCCGTTTGGGAAGTAGAGGAGAATGTCGTCAAGTTTAAGGAAGGGTGACAATAAACATTCTTCTAGAAGGCAACAAGAAACGTCTGATTTCAGCTGAGAAGAAAAGAGAGGAGGGGTTTAAACCTACCCCAGCACTCAGCCTCGTGTAAAAGATCCCTAGATCAGCGTTCAAAAAGGGCTCGCACTAGGTTGGTAAGACGGCCGTATGTGTTGTAAGCAATGGTCAATTCACGAATCCGCAATTTTCGTGATCTCTATCTAGTTGAGTTGAATTGATTGGTCGTAAAAGCACCTGGCCCCCAAACCTCACATGTCGGACTATTAACTACCCAGACTATGGCACCCAGTCATCCTGAAGTGCTGACCACCGGTAAGTAAGTAGACCGTGGGCCTGTATTAGGCTACGTCAATATAAGCACACTTGGTTCGCTCATTGGAGGCCGATCAATCGTCCTTCCTGCTTACTCTGCGAAAAAAAGAAAGTAACAAACCGAAAGCTAAAAGGTGTGGCTACGAAGAAATGGGGTATGATAAACAAAATCACTGAAGCTGAGCATTAAGTGGCTAATTACCATATATGCACCTGGCGGAGAAGGGCAATGGAAGGGTTACATCGAGACGGCAGAGATTGATCCATAAATAGCTCACGTCAACGCTGACCACTAATTAACCGTATCAATAACAGTACCAGCTACGGAGTCTTACTATGGTATGCTGCTCTGTCATCGAAGCATTTAGATTATCGATTTAGTGAAAGTAGATGTGTATTAGAGAAAACCAGGAAAGTTGTAAGAAGTGCGTAGAGGAGGAGCGGTATAAGACGTATCGGTTCAAATTGCGTTCGCCGAGCTACGCTAAATTGAACGGCTTGCAGCCAAACTGTGTCAAGTATTTATTAATCTTATACAAACAGATACTGAATAAGATTTCCAGAGAAGTGCTAGGGAGACGTGGCTCTTGAAATTTGTCGAAAAACAATGGAGGACCTGTGAATGGGTGAATCACGCGATATGTATCAAGTAAACGGCTAGGCCCCACTATAAAAAAATAATATTACAGTCTCACTTATTGCGTGTAGTTTATACGGCTAAAATATTACTGAATGCTGTTGAGTGTATGCCGGCTATAAGGTGTAGGAGATTCAGTCACATGATTTGAGCTCAGACACCCCGAGTTTGAAGACATTCCAGGTTATACGTAGCAGCTTATTCGTAAAAATAATTCCTTATATATGCAATATTACCCAAAATATTAAATGAAGAGAAACTAGAAACTGTGGATCGATAGTACGGCCTTCAATGCTATGTCAAGCCGTAGGGACAAGTTAGTTATCACGTGAGCCACGACTCTCCAATCGTAAAAGCGAAGAAAATACATAATAGGCTAAAAACCGAAATAAAAATTTAGTTACCCTTTTGCCGCACTTCAGTTTGTTTAATGAAAGCCGAAATGGCATGTCTTTTTTAATAATAATAATTCAATTTAACGTGCTACCTGGTTCCCAATCGCGTCTATGGACGCGTAGAATCAATGTTTAGAGCAAAGTAAACCCGACTCTAAAGAAATGACCTTCTAGAGTCCAA